TACTTATAGATCTGTATTCTCACACCGAACTGACTAATTTATTAATATTTCTGTAACTGATTGAGCCTGTCTGGACCTCATCCCTCAGTAATGTGAAGCTTCACTGGCTGTATTTGCCCTAAGAGGAGTTCTGTGACCTTGTTAGAGCTCACTCCAATACACTACCCTTGATTAAATACAGGCCACACTTTTACACTGTAAGATTATACTATTTAGGTCCCAATTAAATTCATAGGAAGGAAATTGGATCATAAACTCTTTACAGGATCGTTAACAATCATTAGACAGGATAATGGCATGGCAATCAAAATATGTTAAAAAAAACTTCCAAAGTCTTTTGGTGACTTTGTTGTTTTTGGACATTTTCCAAGCAGATTAATCTAGAATTGATTGATTTACAGTTGTAATTAGCTGTCTTCTGCATAGATGCATAATAATCATATATTTCCCTGCTTGTTTTAAGGCATTAATTGGTTTCATTAACAAAAGCAGTTAATTGAATAACAATTAACAAGTTGGTGATGGCATCAACACAGTGCGTGCAAACTCCCTTGTGTTTTCCCTATGATGATAATGAAACCACCTTTTTATCAGATTGGAATTTTGTGTGTTGGACTATGTAATGACTAATATGATATTGGGCTTATTAGTTTATTCGAGTGGCTCACTGAGGCGTTAAGCTGGTATTGAACATGTTGTGTTTAACAGGTAGGCACCATATGCTGCCTTAATCAGACATTGGAATCACATTTGGTTGTTAAATTGTCTTCTAATAAAAGCAGGTAGTAAAACAACTTGAGCTAATTCAATTTCAGGCGAGTTTGGGTGCAGTGAACAGCTGTTCATATTTGTTGAATTGTTTTAGCGTTCCCTCTCTTGTTTTGTTTTTCTTTTCTTTTTTTTTTTAGGTTTAACTTCAACAGCCTGTTTGTTCCTCAACTTTTCTTGTAGAAAATAGAGATGGAGGGTGGACTAGCTGTCCACTCTCCTTAAAAGAAGACAATACCAGGCATATTGTAGTGACAGCTTGCATTGTGTGTGTGTGTGTGTGTGTGTGTGTGAGTGAGTGTGTGAGAGAGAGAGAGAGAGAGAGAGAGAGAGAGAGGGAAAGAAAGGACAGGAGAGAGAGTATGAGTGTGTGTATGTAAGAAAAACAGAAAAAAATATAGAGTGTGTGTGTGTGTGTGTGCATGTGTGTTACAGTGACAGCTTGTATTCTCCATGATTAATGATGTGCTGTGTGACTTGATAAGTGCTTCGGAGGACCAACGCTTGTTTCAATTAGACCTTGTGAAGGTCGCGACGCCGCGCCGGCCTCTCATTATCATATCCATAATCAATCCACATTATCATAGGGGAATGTGGAATGGATGTGTGATATCTTGGTCATACACACACACACCCATACAGAGATGAGCACACACAAAGGGACACCTAATCACATACCAAAACACAATGACATACTCTCTCACTCACAAGAGCACACACACACCCTTCACTCCAAGTTGATTTGAATCATAACAGTGGCTGTCGGAACGGATTGTCTGTTCAGATTAAGAGTGTGTTTCTGAGAATTAAGCAGCGTTGATGGTGGTGGCATTTCAGATCCCCTCTGCAGGCACAAATGCCAAAACATCATTCTGTGACCCCCACCCCACCCCCCCTCCCCTCTCTCTCACACAACCACATATACGACCTCATGCACACACACACACGCACACACACACTTAACCAGTACCCTGGGGCATTTTTAATAGAGGCGAAGTGATTCGTATGTTTTTACTCCTCTAATGAGAACAGATTGAGTGGTATTTACACTTCATCGGCTGATCTAACCACCTACACATTTCCCTCATGCTTCTGCTGCTCACTGGCCAAAACAGACATGTGGAAAGGACCAGAGCTTGGCTTTCAAACAGCAACACAACATGAACATTATCTTTGTTTCTTTGGCTCATGATGCCTCTATGGCAAGATAAATATGAACTGTTAAAACAGAACAGAAAACTGCAGCCAGATTTAATCTCTTTAAGGACGTTGTGTGTATTTGTCTCAAACAGTAAAAATGATAAAGAAAGGTGTCTGAAACTAGATTCAAATCTCTGGCATAGAGAGCGACCCATTTGGGATGTGACTGTTGGTTCCCAGTGAATCTTTAATTTATTCAGTCAGTCTGCCTAAAATAAAAAAAGACAAACACAGGTCATCTATTTCCTCCAAGAATATATTAGCTAATGTAGGCTATATGATACAATAACATGACTTGAGGCAAATGTTGGAGATTAAAACACAGAATCACACTGTACTGAAGCAATTAGAGGAATCAAAGAAGTTATAAAATATTAATTAGCTCAGTAATATGTAGCAAAGGGAGAATCTTCCCAGGTGGTCAAGATAGATGGTTTGCAAAGTCTAAGGAAAAGGGCATTAAAGCACAAAAAGATCCTACTCCACTAATTTAACATTCGACTCCAATAACATTGTCAGACTCATGATGGACGGTTTAAAAAAAGGATCAAAACTGATGCTGTACAATCAGAGATATCTTTTTTTAATTCCATGATTTGTACATCATGTCAAAATCTGGGGGGCTATGTTACCCACAATGCAAACCTCTAAGAGCTTGGTCAGAGATTCAGGTGTTTTCTGCTAGTAGCTAGCAGCTAATGTAGCCTCGAGCTGCTATCCTGGAACAGGATGAAGGGCAGGCAACAAAGATCAGGTGAGCTGACCTCTTTCTAGCTCCACAAACCCCACATTTTTTCATTTTCAAACTTGTAGTCTTCAGATCCAACCATCGCTGCCTATAGTGACTTCACAGAGGTCATCTTTAGTATTACCCGGTTTAAGTAGGGATTTGTTTCTTTCTTCACCTCTGTATCACATATTATGTTGTTACATTTCAGTCACTGGAGAGATTTTACATCAAGTATCAGGTCATTGTTTCATTTCAGCAGACTTCAAGCACAATAGCTGCTGTATGAATTAAACCTATGACCTTCCTGTTGTGAGACAAAGTCACTTCCCACCAGGGCATCCTGCAACCTACAATAACTGGGTTATCTTTAACACTGCAGTTGCTTTCATCTCGGATGGATGAAATAAAATGGGGAAAAAAGGTTGTAATCACAAATTATTTTTTCGGCATATTGTTCATCAGGTCCTTGTTTACGTATATTCATAGTTCATAGTACCAATATCGGTAAATCTATTATCAGATGGTGCCATAACCTTTAAAAGTTGCAAAGCTCTGGCCTGGGAGGTTAAAGCCGAACATTTCACTGCTTATTAAACAGTTTAAGGTGGGAATTTACAATATGAATCAGCTCTGCTTAACACTGATGGCTTTATTGGTGTATTTTCTACAGATGGAGAAAGAGAGTCGTGACATTTCTTTTTGGCAAGGAAAAGGCCATACTCAGCAGGAGTTATCAAAGGCAAAAAGTGAAAAGTTCGAGTTAGCTATCTCTCTCTCTCTCTCCCTCTCTCTCTCTCTTCCCCTGGAGATACTCATGTTAAGCATAATTAAGCAGATTTGATTAGCATCAAGCCTGGCTTCCTCTCTTGACTTTTAATGAATGTAAATCTACCATCTACATCCTAAAGATTAATTTCTGCCAATTAAAAAACACAAGAGGGCTTATTGGAGAGGGGGGGGGGGGTGGAGGAAAAGAGTGTTAAAGTCCTTTGAGTTGGAGTACAGTCGGAGTTTTATCCTCTTCCCCCTTGTCTTATGGTGAGATGGTCTCTGGAGATCTGTGTCTCTCTCTCTCCCTCACGACTAAGATCATTATCAGCACAATGTTCCGTGAAAGCCACTTTGAAAGGACTGCGAGCACCATATGTAAATGATGGGAGTGTGTGTCTGAGTTCGTGCGTGTGTGTGTATGTGTGTGTGTGTGGATTGGGTGAGGTAGTCATATGGGGAACAGGTAAAGGGGTCAATTTGTCAAACCAAGGTTACCCCCCCACCCACCCCCACCCCTTTTGAGCTTTTGCACAGGTTACAGTCTTTCTGGATCCTTCACATTCAAATTCAGGTTCAGATTTATACTGATTCAAGAACATGAAGGTATGGAAAGCAAACAACATGAAATTAATGACAAAACAATGGCACAAAGCAGGAATGATGTGCAACATAAATTACTTGGACAAAGGTACAACATCCTCTAAAACGGCACCTGTTTTACATGTAATTTTTGGCTTATCCAGCTGTAGTGACAAAATTAAATTAAACATAAATGTTCTAGTAAATTTCACAGGCATTTTCCTGTATTTATGCTGGCATTCTTACCTTTAAATGAAAAAAAATACTGGTTGTCAATACAGACCCCCTAGACCTTTTTTTCTGTCCAATTGGTTTTAATTTTAAACTTCTATTTAAATTGCACATAAATATAAAGTTTTATGTGCCACTTCTTTACAAACTGACCTTAATTTATATTTGGGAGCCAGAAATAGAACATTGAAATGTTTAGCATACACAAGGTTTTCCTGTAATGAACAAACTTCTGAAGTCTCTGTTTTTGTATTTTATTCTAAAGCTGGTTATCATCAGATCAAACAAAGTCTTATATCCATGTGGATATAATGAATATTTGCTCTCAAGAAAAATACCTGCAGTAAAATCATATTTTTTCAAGGATTATATACAATTCTAACCATTAGTCCCAAACGATGTTAAGGACAGATTATAGTGATATCATGAAGGGTTTCTTTCCCAAATGCTATAAAGAAGACTGATTAAGTGCCACAGATGCATTAAGTCTCATCAGAAGCATTAAAGTGTCTTTCGTTAGGCGTTCATAAATAGGCTTATCCAAAGTTTATGTAGGCTAATCTTTGCTCTCACCCTCTCCTCTCTCTCCCTCTCTGTGAATGCGTCTCTCACTCTCTAAGAATATGCCCAAGCTCCTCCTCTTTATGATAATGTGACAGTAGCATCTCCAGCTCGGAGACAAGCCTCCTCTCATTCTGATTCAACTATGTGATCTGTTTTTCCACACACGGACCCTGTCTCCACTCCTCTCCTCTTCTTTTATCCCCCTCTCCTCCTCGGCACACTCAATGCGCAGTTCCCTTCGCTAAGCAGCTGTTTTTGTTCGGCGAAGTTACTTTCTTAAATAGTTGACTTTGAAGTTTACTTTTTTTTTTTTTTTTAAAGAAAATTATTCTCGGACATGACCACCATGGCAACTCCGGCTGCTCCGGCTCTGCTCCCCGCCGCTCCACTCGGGCACCACCCGGCGCCGAGTTCCGTGTCTCCGGCCACCAACTCTCCGCCACCTGCGGCCACCTCCGCCTCTTCTTCCCCGGCTCCTCCGGTGGCGCACCCAGCGCTGCTTCACCAGTTCAGGGCGGACCTCTTACTACCAAACGGGACCCCGTTAAAGACCGGTGGTGCTCCCGTGTCCAGCAGCGCTAAGCCCGTGTACGCCACCCCGTCGCCAGTGGAGAGCACGCCGCAGAACAACGAGTGCAAACTGGTGGAGGTGAAAGGTGCCAAGCTGGCCTCGTTCACGGTGAAAGACACGGAGCTCATCTGCCTCCCTCAGGCTTTCGACGTGTTTCTCAAGCACCTAGTCGGGGGACTCCACACCGTCTACACCAAGCTGAAACGGCTGGACATTACCCCGGTGGTGTGCAACGTGGAGCAGGTCCGGGTGCTGCGGGGGCTTGGGGCCATCCAGCCCGGGGTGAACCGGTGCAAACTCATCTCCAGGCAGGACTTCGAGACGCTCTACAACGACTGTACCAACGCAAGGTGAGTCGGGTGTGGGAGATAGGAGAGGGGAGGCGGAGGTGACAGTGTGACCCGGTCGTCATGCGGTTGATTTAGGGTTACCCATCTTATGTTTGAGGGGGGTGGTGGTGGTGGTGGGGTTCCTGCTGGTGCAGCAGGTGTGGTTATAAAGCAGGTATATGCGATTCAGAGCTACAGACAGTGAATAAACAGGATTTTAGGGACTTTCTATGTGATGTCAGTCTGCAGGTCAAGTCCCAGGTTGGTGTTACGTTTTATGTATTAGAGTACTATATAATACAACTAATACATAATATTAATGCAATATTTCAGGACTTGGCTATAGCTTTACTCTATCTGCATGAGATTCACCTAAATCTAAATTAAAGGTTTCCAGAAGCCACATGTAAAATATATGGGGGAAAGGAACTATTCCATTAATTTTTTGTTCTGAAAATATGATTTGTTTGTTTGTATTGGAGGTTGTAAACCATTTGATGATGACTGACTGGGAGTCCACTTAACCCCTTATTATTTACCACATAACTGCTGCTAGGCCTGTTACTAATTACCATTTTAACGGATGATGAACGTTGTGATGATGATGGTGTTGACGATAATGAATTTTAGTAATCCTAATAAAAAAAAAAAACACTCTCAAAAGTTTGTCATGTTATCATAGGCTATGATCTCTGGCTCTCTGACATGCACACACACATGCACAGAGTCTCTCTCTGTCTCTCTGACACACACACATGCACGCATTGAATCTGACACTGTCATTCTGAGAAATTGATTCTTCACAGAAATTAATTAATTTTCATTTGGCCCCAAGCGGCAGCTTAAATCAGGACAAGCTCACTCACTCACTCACTGATCCCTTTGCTCTCTCTCTCCTTCTCTCTGCCTCCCTCTCTCTCTCTCCCTCTCTCTCCTTCCTTAATAACTCGCTGTCTTATCATATCAACACTCTTTAGCCCTGAGCATCAGAACAGAGAAGATGATTAAATGAATTCTCGGTGTTTATGATGCGATTATGTAAATTAGCTGTTTTGCAGAACTCCGATGGTGACCAACTACATGGGTCATCAATCCTATACGCCACAGAGATGTTTGGATAAAGGGGCTAAATTGGATGGGATTTGTGGTTTCCTGGTGCCTCAGTCTGCTGTTGTGCAGACCACATGCTCGTAACAGCATGAGTTTGAATCCAGAGGAGTGTGGATTAGCCTCAGTTTGGGGAATTTATATTGTTTGATAGTTAATCCCTGCTCCTTGGAGCATGAATGATCCAATTTACACCTGCCATTAAATGCAGATTGAGGACGCATCAAGATATGAAGAGATAGACACCAACAAACTGACTGAGGAATGTATGAACCATTTTTTCCCCTGTTTTTTTTTTAATCTGTCTTGGGTGTAGGTCAAATCATTCAGGTGCTTTAATGTGATGCTATTTTTATCTTTGAGCTGCATTTTAATTTTAATATCAGGCGTTAACTTCTGAGACAAGCTTTGACTTGTTGAGCAAAACCACAAACACTCCAGAATGAAACAAACTATTGTAATAATCAGCTTCCAACTGCACGTGCATGGATTAACACCTGTGCTTAAGCATCTGAGGCCCTCCAACCAAGACAAAATCCAGACGCATCTTCCGGCTGCTTGGGGATTTCTTCTATGTCAGGTGTTAATGGGAACGTTGTTATACAACTTGAATACACACAGCCTCCGCCATCTCTAATTATCCATACAACACTCAAACAGCCTTCAGTTAATGAGATCTGAAAACATCACTCGTCTGAAATCTTCAAACGACTTCCGTGATTCTTTGTCTGAAGGATTCAAATGTGCTGTGGTAGCCATTAGTATCACCCCCTCTACATTAGAAGTTTTTAAGTAATCCCTTGTGTGGATGGAGCATCATACGGAGGCAGGTAAAAAAAGTGGGACTGGAGATGGTTATCATTAAAGCAGGAAGGTTGGCTGACTAAACCTAAAAGTTCCAAGACCATCTCCAACAATATGATGTTACTTCTCTCTGACAGCGTCAGGGCTCAGTGAGGTTTTTGTTACTGATTAAGACAGCCATCACTTATTATTTTCCAGTCCAGTACAGTCAGGCAGGCTGGAGGAGAAAATAACAGCCTTGTCGGACAGTTTAACATGACTAACAGAACACTTTACATGGATTCTGTTCATTCTTTTGGCTCTTTGTTCATTCATTGGTTCTCTTTTAAGATTAAAATTAAACATTCTGAAGCAGAGGTTACGAAAATGTCCTCTGTTTATCATTGTCTTTCCTTCTCCTCTTTGTCTCACTCTTTTACTCCTGCTGTGCACAAACATGCACACACGCACACATGCACGCGGACACACAAACACCCTGACCACTGACTCATCAAACCATGAAGAGGGGCCGACTTCTCCCTCAGTCAAAGCCTACTTATAATTCATGCATAGGTGGCACAAAAACACACACTCTTGTCTGCTCTCTCTGTCGTCTCCGAACACACACACTCACTCACACACACACACACACACACACACACACACATAAACTCACATGGTCACGCCTGTGTGTTTGCTGGCTTTTCTGCTAAATGACATTAGTTCCACAGAGAGAACATGGTGTGTAGGAGGCAACCTGATCCCTCGTCCTTTTCTTTCTCCCTCACAAAGGAACAGTTTCATTCTCAGTTAGTAACACACATCAAACAGCTCGCTCAGGTCAACCTGTGTGTATGTGTGTGTGTGCATATATTGTACATATGTATGATTACTTTGTGTAGAGTATGGAAACGCCACCCCCTCATGTTACATGAAAGCAGTGTAATGTGGCGAGGTACAAGATCTCATGTTACTTTTTAATGAAGCATGTGTTAATAACGACACATTGTTTCTGCATTTGTGTGTGTGTAAACATCTTTTATGCACAAAGACCCAAAGAGTAGCAGAGGATGTGTTTCGCAAGCATTCCTTAGTTCTTTTAAATTCCAAAAAAAAAAAAAAAAATTCTCAATTGCTGTTTGATATCTACCATGCAGATATTTTTGTTTTTGTTTGCTCTCATGTTGAGATATCCGTCTCCAAGATCCCTGCCTCCAGCCCAATACAATAGAGGTGAATGGAGTTTTGTTTGTGGTGTTCAAAGCATTGAAAATGACACTTGAAATGACACAATGTGCATTTCCAGAAACAGTGTCCATGTTACTCTGGAGAACAGATAAACAGCAGATATATCACAGTTTTCACACGACCTACTTCTACTTAAGTGTTTCATTGGGGTGGAAAGAGAAAACCTCTAAACAAGCGTGGCTACATATCACTGAACTTAAAAGGGGAAGATATGTTGGGTGTATTTTGTAATTTAGGTTAACTGACCCTTCAAGTGATACGTTGGAAAATGATGAAAAAACAAAATTGTAACTTTTACAAAGACCTGAGTTCATAAATCATTCAACCAGGGGCACTCATATGAAGCAGGTGTCGAATAAAAATCAGGCAAAACAAAAAAAATAAATCAAACTTAGCTAAATCAAACGATAAATGATAAATGAGACAAAGCTGCCTTTGGGGTGCAACAAAAGCCCACTCTTTGTGTTTCTCTGTGGCAATCCTCGGCCTCGCAAGTTGGCAGCGGCGAGCCGGGGTTGTGTGTGCGCATGGGAAGGTGGACTCCACAAAGCTGAGCCCCACTGCCATGCCATAACTCACTGTCAAAGTGAGCAGCGGTGGGATGAAGAGGAGGAGGGCAGTGTGTGTGTGTGTGTGTGTGTGTGTGTGTGTGTATGTGTGTGTGTGCGCTAGGGTGGGATGGTTAGCTCAACTTTAACCTCTTCACTCTTTTGATGTTTTATAGAGAAGAGCGCGATGAGATAGAGAGGGCCTCCATGTCTTCCACTGTGACAGGTCTTAATGGAGTACACACATTTTAACAGACACACACACATGTACGCGCGCACACACACACACACACACACACACACACGCACATGCACACACACACAGTCTTGACATCGTCCTGACCCTGGAATGTGGGAGAGGAATGCAAGGCGGTATCAGTTTAGGAGATCAGATTCTTGCTATGATCAAACGTCCTGTGTCTGTGTCTGTGTGTGTGTGTGTGTGTGTGTGTGTGTGTGTGTGTGTGTGTGTGTGTGTGAGTGAGACACTGTGCAAGTGTGTCGTCCTGCCTGCTTTTTTCATGACATCATCACACAGGCTTTCCTAATAACAATGCCACATAAAGCTTTTTCAGCCCTCGATTCGAGAGGAAGATCACAACATCAATCTTTCCCTGCCTCCTCTAACCAGCAGCCCAAGATTTCCTGCGTATGGCGACGACGATATGATTTATCAAACCGGACCGTGACGGTGAATACAAACCCGCGTGATAAACACAGATTGAAAGGATGGGAGCATGGGAGCTGTAAACCGCTGCTAATATATTCCAAACAAAATCTTGTTTGAGCTAGTTGTGTTTTTTTCCCTCTCTCCCTCTCCTACACAGACTCGCATAAACACACACACACACACACACACACACACACACACACACACACACACACACACACACACACACACACACACACAGCTGCTACCTATCAGCACCTCAGTTCCTCCAAGCCAGTAGCTGTTCCACTGTTTTGACTGTAACACTTCCTCCTCTTTCATTACTTTTCTCTTTCCCCTCAGTGTGTGTGTGTGTGTGTGTGTGTGTGTGTGTGTGTGTGTTAGCGTGGAAGAGAGAGATCTGTCATCTTTGTTATGTTTTGTTTCTGTTCCACCTGTGCTAAGCTCCAGCTGCCATGTATGGCGTTTCATGTTTCAGGTAACACACACACACACACACACACACACACACACACAACACACACACACACGCTAAGTTTTGGAGGGCAGAACTCAATGTACAGCGCGTACCTTTTTTTTTTTTTTTTTTAAGTGGATGTGTGTGTGTCTGTGTGTGTGTGTGTGTGTGTGTGTGTGTGTGTGTGTGTGGCCAGAGCGTTGGCATGAGGGAGGACGTCTGGGTGAGATTTTAATTAAAGTTTGAGACAAAGAGGTCATAACCCATACACCCCCTCCTCCTCACACACACACACACACACACACACACACACACATGCACACATGATTTATACACACACACACACACACACACACACACACACACACAATGCACTGTTTTCTCTCTTCCCCCTCCTCTCTCTCATTCCATCCCCTCAGCTTGATGACTTTTCCATGAAAGGCTTTTTCATTAATCCTACCTCAGGGAACCGGTGCTCTCCAACCTCACACACACACACAAAACACACTCGCATGCACACACAGACACACAGAGACACATAGACCTCCCTCTATGGGTCACTTTGATGTATCAACGCACTTGCAGACTAAACACAAAATTAGGTTTGAGTTCTTTATGCCTGCTAAAATGCAACATATACAAAGGCACACACACACACACACAAAACACAAAACACACACACACAAACACACACACACACACACACACATCATCACACACAGGCCATTAATTAGTGTGTGCAAATAAACAGTAGTAAGGGAAAGGGAAGCGGCTGCAGTAAAAACCAACCGCAGACTTTGGTCTTTGTGTATTTTATTTCCCCCCACTGGTGTTTGCTTCTGCATTTGTGCGTGTGAGTGTGTGTGTGTGTGTGTATTCATTTGAGATGTTTCAACATCAGTTGCAGTTGAACTGTGTTGCTTTACCTTCAAACTCAAGACCTAAAAATAAATTTCCTGCTTTTGTTAAGCACAGTATGCTGCACTATATGCACTGCAAAAAATATTGCGTGTGATGTGAAAGCACCCTGGCCTCCAAAAGAACAACATATACACACACACACACACACACACACACACACACACACACACACACACACACACATTCCCAACCCTTGCACATTCCTGCTTGACTTTATGTCATGTTGTGTGTGTGAATATGTGTATGTCTACCTGAGTGTGTCTCTCTTACTGTCTACGTGCATGTGTGTGTGTGTGTGTGTGTGGGTGGGTGTGAGTGTGTGTGATATCTGATGTCAGCTGTCACATCCCAGTCGGTCTGGGCCCATAATAAGAGACAATAATAACAACTCATTAAAACCGAGGGCAGGAACTGTGGAGCTCATCGGCTCATCAAATTAACCTTTGAACACTTCATACACACACAAGCCAGACACAACCACACACACACACACACACATACTGGTTTGCACTCACACACACACACACACACAAGCTACCTGTTTTTCTCCCACAGTTAGTGACTACACAATCTTTCTCTCTGTCTTTTTGTCTCTCTCCATCTTCCCCCCCTCTCAGCCAGTGGGTGTGTCAACAGGGGATTGGTCCTTTCTGCTGGGTAATTGATGAATTATATGCAATATGCAAATGAGGCGCCATTAATCTCCTGACTGACAGCTTCGTTTATGGGGCTTTAATGACGGCTGGATTAGATTCTAATTAAAATCTGCTCAAAGACACCCCACGCTAGGAAGCTGCTGCTGCTGCTAGTCTATCTCCCCCTCTTTTTTTTTTTTTTTTTACTCTTTCCCACCTTTTCTCACTCTCTCGGACTCTCCCTCTGTATGTTTCCTCTCATCTCTTCCTCTCACTTTACACCTCCTCATCTTTCCCTCCGTCTCCCTCTTCATCTTTATTGTTCTTTCTGTTTCTTTCACTCTCTGTGACACCTTCTTCGTCTCCACTTTCCCCTGTCATTTTCCCTCCTTCACTCACTCTGTCTTTTAATATCAAACACACACACACACACACACACACACACACACACACACACACAAATACAGATGCACGCTTCACAGTCACATGCGCACACTTGCCCACAGACTCATGTTATCCAGTGTCAGGCTGGTATGAAAGGAGATGAGCTGCGCTGGTTGTCATTAAGCCTGATGTGGCCCGTGTCATTTCCCCTGTCAGGACATTCACACCGTTTAGTCAGAGCCAAAGTGATGCCTGACAGTTTTTCACATACTTCCTCCAGGATTGATTGAGCATGCCTGGCTCAATCAAACCATATGAATCTGCTTGTAGTCACAGCCTTTATTGAGAAAATGTGTGACATGGCGGGAAAAAGGGAAATGAATGGCCAAATGAGGAATGGATGGAGAGAGTAGGAGGCGAGCAAACACATTTAATAAGCAAACAAATGAATGAGTAAGCTGAACAGTAATGAGGTGCTTTATTGATGCCATAGGGAAACTCCTTTTTTGCTTGCTTGTATCCACAGGGAGGACAGATTTGCTGTACGGCAGTCTTCCTGGAAGCGGTCAGGTTTCAGTGTTTTGCTTGTTGACATTTCAGCAGGATCAGAGGTTTTCAGACTGAAGGACAGTTTCTCTAACCAGGCCACCCATCTCAGTCTCAGCATGAAGAACTGACTGACTGAAGAGAGTGAAGTATTAAACTGCCTAATGACTAACGTTAGCCTGTTTTCTGCCTGCAGTTCGAGGCCTGGACGACCGCCCAAGAGGCTGCAAAGTGTGACCGAGGGCGGGACTCACCACATGCTGTCCCACAGTGGTCTGATGCACGCTGGGATCATGCCTCCTGCAGGTGACCACCCAGGCCTCACCACGCACATACAGTACATATGTACACATCTGCATAAGTGTACTTTACAATCAGTATCCAACAGGAAAGATCAAATCAGGGAAAAATCATGTTTCATTTTTCCAGATTTTTATTTACTTTTCCTTCAGTTTAGACGCATTCTTGTTCACTGTTTTCTGCTTCTCGTATTTTGTATTTTTTCCACGGCTTTTTTTGCTCCACAAGAATCACAGAGCCACCAAAAAAAGTGCTGATCGGGATCTCTTAGTCTACAGTCCATTTAGTAACTTGTGCCCTCACTCTGCATATTAATAAAAAACTGTCAGGGAGGAGATCTATGCAGCAGGAATACAGCCTGAATCTGAATCACACAGAAGTTTGTCTGCTCAACTGAAGTTACAGAAGCATGGTTGAAAACAATTCTTTTCCCTTGTCACATGTCTAAGGATCAAAGAATCAACAAACGTGTGTACTCTAATGCTCAACAGTGATGATGATCAGCCTGTGACACATCAGAGCCTGTGGTTCAGCTGCATGACATTTTGGGAACATAAAGTTGTAATGAGGAATTGTAAAGTAGGTATATGAATAAAAATGTTCCAAGTTTCGGAAAAAACTTGCAGTTACTGACACGTTGAGTTATGTACAGTATTTCAATGCGGAGGGTGAAAATATTTTAATTAATTTCTGAATTAATTAGAAAATGAAAATGAAAAAAAACTATCTGAGAAACTTGACAATTGATAACATTGTCATTTGTTCTGGTCATGTTCAAAAGCTTTTTGTCAGTAACTGTCAATATTTTGTCTTTAACAGTAATTACTGTTTATGCTGTTAATACTGCTGCTTCTACAACTAATTGTAAAACTAAAATTACTTTCATTTCATTCAAGTGTAGCCCAGTTAAACACACTGTGCTATTTTCAAATAATTTGGTAGAAATACAATATGATAGAATCATGTTTCAACCAAAAATTATAGTTAAATCTTAAGTTTAAAAAATGGAAATACCCTGCCAGAATAATGTGTATTAAAGATCCCTTAAAAGAAGAGTCTCTAAATCTCTCTTTTTTTACACATGTTTTATAATATAAATGTTTGTAATTCTTCAGAACTGAATAGAAGTGACAGTAGAAATCTTTAAAGAGTGAATCAGAGACACTTGCTTCAGTCCTCTGAAGAGCTGCGGGCAAAGTTCAAATTTTGTTCAGTTGTTTGAAGGGGGACAGCAAGTCGTCCCACCTGTTCTGAAGAAAGACCAAGTTGCTTATGCAGAATAGAAAGAGGATGGGGCGTTTTTTTTTCTTTCTTTTTTTCCCTCACCACTTTTCCTGCAGACCAACATAATGACACATTTTACCCATCGTCAATAGTCTGAAGAGGTGGGGTTCTGAGAGGCAACCTGTGTGTTGATTAATAAAATTAGCATACACCCTGCTGACACATGAGAAAAAACTCATAACTTGCAAGCTTGGTATTTTTTCTTGAGTTGTCAGAACACAAAGTCCTCTGTTAAGGTGAGCAAGACCTGTGAAACCACTTTTAAAACCGATGTATAATTTCCACTCCTTCTTGTGTAGGTGACAATGTAGTTTGTATGTTTGAAGTTAAAGCAATTCATTGTCTCTTCAATTATGAAATTAAGTTTTAGATTTGTTATTGAAAATAAACAAAAATGTCTGTGAAGGAAAATCTGTTATTTGTAATGTCAGAATCTGTAGGTCTGTGTGTTTTATGTTTTAGTTTTACATTTTGGCTTTGTGAGAATTGTCAGTCAACTGCCCGCTAAAGGCCATAGAGCTGCTTGTTCTTGTCACAAACCCTTGCGTGTTTGAGTCCCTATTGTGGTGTGTTTGTGTGTGTGTGTGTGTCTGTGTGCTTGTGTTTGTGAGTACAGCACAGAGAAAAGGAAGAAAAGTAATTGTTGGCACCTCACTGCTCTCAAAGTTGCCCTTGGCTTTGTGCTCTTCACTGCAACCTGATCTTTTCATTCCCCGCCTCAAAAGAAGCCATTTTCTATTAGCCTCCACTTCCTCTCACTGTTCAAAGGTGTTTGAGTGTGTGTGTTTGTGTGTGCGTTCTGTATGTGTGAGCGTTCAAGAGCATCTTTCTCAGTGGGAAAAGAGTCTTTTTCCACCAAAGGAGAGGGCACGGCGGCAATGTCAGCGCTACTGATTAGAACTGGCCACATGAGAGGGGAGAAAGAGACAGAGAGAGGGAGGACATTTGAGCGTAAAAGGCAGGAAAAATCTTTGATGTGATCCTCCTTAGTCTCTTTTTCTCGCCCTCGTGCACTCACACATACACACAGGCAACACGGTGGCTTATGTCCTGCTGTGATGCTGACATTTGAAAAGGTAAAGTAAGGAGAGGGGATGGGAGGAGAGCAGGGAAGAGGGCAGGAAAGAGAAGGAGAGAAGATGAGAAGAAAAGGAACAATTTGTTGTGGTTGTCGACGTCCAGGACAGACAGACTATTCACCTCAGACGCCCATTGTGTAAGGAACAAAAAACACTCAGCGCTTCAGTTTGTTGCAAATGTTTAGATGTATCCAAGATCAGGAAATTAAGACTTATGGTTTGTTTGCATTTCCTCAGTGCTGTTTGCACAGTTGCGCGTTTTGTCCAACTTTAATAATTCACTGTGTTTGTCTGTATTAGTGCAAGAGATATTTAATTTTCTGTGGCATAAGAAAGAGTTTTAAAGGTCGCTCTGTGGGTCAAACTACCTTCTGAGGTTCAAGACACAAATTATAATGCGGCTCTGCCCTGCTGCTACATTTTGTCACTCTCCATTTCACATTATCCAAAAGTGCACAACCCCTATTAAAAAATAGCCACGCTTTTTTTTCTAATGCTTCTAATTTGTACTGATAAAGAAGTACTTTCTGGCTAGAAGGTGGAGCTGCCGCCGCCACTGAGTGTCATCCTATGTGCTGTGCTGTGGGATGTGATGTCCCTGTGTGGGAGAGATGAATGTCTTGGCTTGTTCCTATCACTGCTGATTCCCTGGCAGACTAAACGGCCAGTGCAGCGGTGCAGTCAGAATGAATGGCTGGCCTCTGTCTTCCCATGACAACCTCCTGCCTACCCACCGCTCTAATCCTCCACCGGGGCCATTGATCTGGCTCTTATTGATTCTCTCTCTTTCTTTCTTTCCTTCTTTTCCTTTTTCTTTTCCTCTCTATGTCTGTCTCTCTCTCTCTCAGATCTGTCTGCCCTGGCCAAGAAGATCAAGCTGGAGGCGATGGCAGGTTACCACAGCAACCAGCAACATGGCGGGCCAAACGGAGAGAACGGTGACCACAACCCCGGACTGGGTGAGTCTGAATCTGTTTGTCCATCCACACACACACATGCACATGCACACGCACACACATATTTCATGTTTAATTACGGTCGTATAACATGTTGCACGGTTGTTGTCTGTACGCATCTGTGATGCCAAGTCAATACAACTTGAGCAGCTGTGTTTATGTGCGGCTGCTGAACCAAGCTGATTAAAACCAGGATATGACATCACCTGTGCTGCCTGTACGTTTCCTCTGAGAGACAATGAATGAAAAACAAACTACAGCACCCATGAGTCGGTTCTTCATTTGAAATTAGAAATAAACATCTGGGGCAAGTAATCTAAACCATCAAAACATAAGGAGCAGATCTTTATTTTTTTTAATCACCAATTTTTGTTTGGTTTTTCCAGTATTTCCAGGTTGTGATAAATGCCTTTAAGCTTGGATTTGTTTGCACACTTGTGGGATTCAATGAGATTCAGGAAACGTATCCTGAAAAACACAGTTGGTCATCCATTCTGTAGCCTCAAAATGTTGCCGGCAAATCATTAGTACATATGAGTCATCACATCAAGGGAGTTTAAACCCAAACCAGCTCTGTTACTCATGCTCAACATGACATTGGTCTGTCAGATCAAGTAATATTAGATCAGGATTTACAGGAAAAAAGAGTTGAGTAAGCACTGTGTTCCCATTTACAGTTAACTGTTCATTTTGAAGCTGGAAAACACTGATTCACCTCATTTTAGAGCTGAAACCTTTCAGCTACTCATTACATCTTCAAGTATAATTTTTAGTTATATGTTGTTCCCTTTACTGCACCCTTAGCCCTGGCTTTGTAGTGAAGGAGAGCAGCCAGTGAAAATGAAGCACCAGTGGACGAGAGCAAGCGCACCAGGATGATAGAGAGATGAATAAGATGAGAGGCTGAAACCAAATCAATAGTCTTCTCTCTAATTCACTATCCTGAATGCAAACGACAAACGCTGGACAATCGATGGCAGAACGGACACACGCACACGCACGCACGGTTGCTTTCACGCAAACACCAGCGCGTGCACACACACACACACACACGCACAAACAAATCGGACACACCGCCCCCTCTGTTATCGACAGGTTAAAGCGACATCATTGTGTTTAGACAGATGACAGGGCTTATGGAGGTCTGTGTGGAATACGCTATCAACCTGGGACACATACACTTAACATGTGGAGCATACTGCGAGGCTTTAGGACAGAAATGAAAAAGAAGAAACTGTCCTTGTGTTTTTCAGGAATTACAAGGAGACTAAAGTAAAATCACCACTTGTTTTAGGCCCCTCTTTAGCTTTGTTTTTTTTTTTGTTTTTTTTTTTTTGTGTATGTGTGTGTGTAGTAAATCTTTCTCTGTACCCGTGTCTGTAAACACTCCCAGTCTTAGGCATTGTTTACCATTGTATACACTCAGTTACGACGGCCAGCATCTGTGCGCAGTTTGGTGGCATGGTTACCACCAGCCATTATAAACCTGTAAAGCTTAATCACTGTTAATGATAGAGTCAAGTGGAAACACACACACACACACACACACACACACACACACACACACACACACACACGCACACACACACACACACACACACACACATACACACACACACAGCGCAGGCATATATACACACATAAGCACGATGTGTTTTTTCCATACCGCCACCCACGGCCTTATGGGAAGGATAGACCCCTACCAGATCTTAAACCACTACAAAGGCAATCTCAGATTACACACACGCACACACTCACAAATGCTGAGTGTGACACCTTATGGGCTGGGGAAGAGCGGGGAGCAGCCATTTCTGCATTTAACAAGATCTTCTGGGAAATTTACAGTAACTGTTTGTTTACAGTAATGGTTTGTTTGGATAAACATAAGAGAGGCACTTTGACTTTTGATGTTTTTTAATGAAACATAAGAGAGAGTGATGGGAGGGCAGAGAAAGTGAAAAAAAACAGAGTTAAGAAGAAGAGTGAAAATGAAAAATTAGTAGGTGGTGGTGGTGATGGTGGGGTGGGGTGTGGGGGGGGGGGTGTCTCTAACCAAGGCTTAATATTTGGAGTTGGCTGCTAGTTGATTGTCGGAGCATCTGGTTATTTAGCTCCATTCAGACAGATCTTTTGTTTGGATTGGTTTCTGCTCTGGGCAAGTGAGAGACTAATCTGCCAAATGCACAAAGCACTGCACATATGTCCAGCGAGGCCGACTCATAAAGTCAACGCCTCACTCTTTATTTCTTAGTTTGCCTTTTCTTTTCTTTTCCTTTCTTCCTCTTTTTCTTTCTTTTTCCTCTTTCTTTCCTTTCCCTCCTTTATTTGTTCTATTTCATCTCTCCTCTTTGGATAGCCTTTTTTTGTTTCCATGCACTCGTTCTATTATTTGTGACAATTGTGCGGAATAGAGTCCAAGATTTTTTCCTTTGTGTTTATAATTACCCAGCGTGCATTGCTGGCCCAGCACCAGGACTGCCATCAGCTTCTTTTGTTCCACTTCCTCCCTGTGTTTCTTTTGTTTTTGTTTTTCCTATTATTAAATGATAAATATTTATGTCATTCTCTCCCCCCCCCATGAATAGAGGGACTGCAACAACCCACTAGGGTGCTGTTGAGAGGAAGGATTTTCTTTAAAGATAGTGGATGCTTGTCTTAAAGAGGAGTGCGATTGGCCAAGATAATAAGAGTTTGGTTTGAAAACGTGTTGGATTATCGTCAAGAACGCCAGGGAATTTAAAGAAAAGTTAGCCAGTTTTTCTTAACTCCAGAGAGGCTGGATTTGTGTGTTTGCAGGTGACACTCATGAAAAGGATTTAAAGCTTCACAACAACATCTTGAAGCCATCACTGTCTATACATCTTTGTGTTGTATAATGAGCAGGACAAGTGTCTCTCGGTCCTGTCTCCTTCTACTTCAGTCACTTTTTATCTATTCTCCTAGTGCGCTCATCTTTTTCCACACTCTACATCTCTAAACCCTTGACATGCACATGTACATGTATTTTTGAGTCATGCTGTAGAAGCAGAGCAGTCATCCAGGTAATATTGATATCACCGAGGAATGATATCGGTGTCCAGTTTCAGTCCTGTCATCACAGAACCAGAGGTGCTGTGGGCTTTCAGTTCAGTAAACACCATAGGCCTGAGATGAGGGAGGCCTTTCAGTTGTGATGCATAAATGCAACTGAAGCAAAAATGAAAGAAGAGAGAGACGAAACCTGTTTCATGTTGGGTGCATGTATAGAGCAGTTTTGATGGCCTTTAAACAGAGCTGCTGGTCTGACCTTTACCATATAAAAAATAACGGACTCTTACTGTACTTCACTGTGCTCTCTCTCTCGCTCTCCTTCAATACTTACCTATTTCATTCTATTTTCTTCTATTCTTCCCCCCAGTTCTGGATCAGTTGCCCTTCATGATGATGTCACATCCTCTGATCCCTGCAAGCCTGGCGCCAGCCTCCGTTTCCATGGCGATGGGCCAGATGAACCGATTGAGCACACTAGCCAGCATGGCCAACGTGGCGCAACTTCACGCCAACCCCCCTGCTAGGGCTCCCACCTCCGTCATTAAGGTGAACACTGTGGCCCATCAGCTCCGTAGATCTGACAACCAGCCAGTAATTGTCTGAGTCCATGTGACACTTGGGACCTTTAACTTAAATCTGAGTTTTAATCACACAGAAGCGTTGTTTCAAAATTAGATATTTGGAAAAACAAATGTCCAACTTTCTTTTAACATCCAAAGGCATATTTGTTATCCCTTACAATTCAAGATGAATTAATCTTTTAATCGTTTACATGCAGAATTTCCATCCATGGTTATGACTAAAACAAATTGCCCGGTAATTGTCCGCTGGTGGATATCCATGTTCTGGATCACAACCAGAATGTAATCAGTTGTTCCTTGGTTTATGGCCAATCCCATATCTATTTATAATTTTTGAGATATCCTGCTTACAGACAGAAACTGCGACCTTCTTAGCCTTGATCACTTTGTTTAAAAACATTATCAGTGGGTTCACTCTTAAGACTAATTAAAGGAGCTTTGGAATTATATATTTCCAAAAAATGCATGCTGTAGACGTCACTCCTCACAAAGTGCTATATCACATCATGTCCTCATCAGTAACAGGAAGTAATGTCTCCGGTCATAATTTTAACGATGGAGACCATTGTTTTTCAAACATTGGGCTGAGTCCAAAGGTGGTTTACAAGGCTTATTGAAATGAGCACCACATTTTTCTTTAAGCAACAAAGAATACATATTACATTTCCCAGCCTTTCGATGTCCTCAAGAACAAAATTCAACATCTGTTTTACCATATAAAAATTATGTCATAAAAATATAGAGAGACAAACAACAAGACAGGTAAAGCAAAAGAGCTAGGCCTATAGTTAAAGCTAGATGACAAGATAGCCACGGGTTAGCCTTAGCTTTAACTAGCTAAATGTACTTCTTTTTTTACTCTTCTTTCTGTGTAGTTGAAAAATATCCATTTTGATGGTGATGGTGATGTTGGTAATTTGGTTTGTTATCCACCATAACTAAACTAAATTACATATTTAAATGTATTAAATGGTTATTTCTCATAAATAATAACAAGTGTAATAAGTGTAACATCCCACCTCTGTTCCACCTGCTTCTGAAACACATTTCAGCATTTCTTTCATTTCTTTCATTTCTTTCATCAGATTTTGTAATAAAAAAGGTTAAAGAAAAAAAACAAGATTCACTTTCTATATTCCAAGAAAACTCCCTATCCACTACAGCAACTGCTGTGATAAAGTGAAATCTTTATGGTTTTGTAATTGTAATCTCTATTGTTTAAAAACGTCTATGGCATTCGCTCATCTCTGTTTTATCTTAGCTAGCCTCTACTTGCTCATGGACTTGCCTCTTCTGTTGAGTTGTGACATTTAACCCACAAACATCTAGGCCTTATGGGGAATGGTTTTCCTGAAAGGCTGCTACTTTTATTATATTTATTAGTTTGTTTTTTTCAACAAAAAAAAAACTATTATTCCTGTGTAGACCTATGAATCCAGCTACACGACATACTGTTTAGAGAGGCTTTGTTCCAACGATGGACTTTTAGGTAGAGTTACAAATGTAAATGGGATTTTGAATGAGGTTTTCCTACTCCTGGAAGAGAACCTGGAAGTTATGGTTCCACTTTGGCTCTCTTTAATCATTTTTGTTGTTCATAGGAACGAATGCGTGATAGCCCTTCACCCTCTCCCTCATTGGAGGAAGGTCAGATGTCATCCAATCACAGCAGCAGCGTGTCGAGTTCACCGTCTCACACAGAACGCACTGCAGAAACCACACGTATGTACTTACCTAAGTCATCTACCCTCGGCAAGGCAGTGCTAAAAATTAAGGATACTTCAATTATAGCAATGCCTGTGATTAATTTATAGTCTCTTTGACTTCTGATATCTTCTCTCTAGACCCGCTGCATGACGGCCTGTCATCAAGTCACAGTGTGTTGGGACATTCCCCTGGCATGGTGCAGGGGTCCAGAGAGGCAGATGTGACTCCAGTGGAATACAGCAAGGAGAGCAAGAGGAGCCACACTGACAGAGGTAAGATACACTATTATGTTTGTATAACCTGGGTCAGTATTGGTTCTTGTGTGCTCTCTTAAAAAAACAAAACAAATTTATATAATTTTTTCATTTTTTAATATAATTTTCATCTTGTTTTAAAAGTATGAGTTATTACACAAATTTATTGACTGACAGTGTCAACTTGACTTCAAAGGTCAAATTTTTTTCTGAGAATTTCTTGTAACAGTCATTAATCATTTAATGATTATTAATCAGTAATGATAATTTCTCAGACAAATCAATTGCCTTTGTACAAAGTCTGTCAATACAGTTTCCATCCAATCCATCTATCTATGTCATCATTTACACTGTGGATTTAAAAATTTGGCACGTGGCAACAGTGCGATAGTTTATTTAACACGGTTTATTTACAAGAGAAAGGGTTTCTAACAGTTTGACAAGAGAGAAATATCTCAGTAACAGGTCGATGAGGATTCACTGTCTCACCCCCCCTCCCTTCCTCCTCTTCTCCTCCCCCTCTCCTCTTCGCTGTCGGTGGCCTCCCTGGCTTCCCGCAGAGAGCAAAGACAAATAATTCTGCAAAACAGGGCTCCATTAGACCAGGAAGCGGTGTTACATTAGCGAGCCATTTGCCGGGCCGCGGCCTAACGAGCCAGGCGGCCTCCCGTGCTCTCAGCTGGACCTCATCTGCATAACGACTGCCTCCCTGTCGTTAGGGCCTGCGTTGCCACGGCGCTGCAACGTCAGTTGTTTGGTTCTCTCTGTCAGGGAGGTTTGCATTAGCTTAATGAGGACTGCTCAAGGACAAACAGTCAGCAGAAATCTACAGCGAGAGGGAGAGAGCGGGACAGAAACTGAGAGTTTGTATGGGTGTGCACGCGCCTGTGTAAATGTATTCTAATACTGAATCACATTATTCAGTAATCGAATCTAAAAATCACAAAGGCCTCCCAGGTAAGGTTTCAGATGCTGTCAGGTATCTGTGAATATATTGACAAAACAGTGATGGCACCAACAACGTGAATGCCATGCATCACACATCACATTTATGCAATTGATTTTCAATTGATTTTTCTGCATGCAAATGAAACACATGTACATTTGCTGGATTGCAGGCTTTTGTATTTGACCTACAACATCACAGGATAGGTTTATCATGGATTGAACAGAGTTTCAAAGAGCACTTCAGCGCTGTCATTCTGTCAATCCACTGCATGATAATCTCTGAGTGTGTGTGTGTGTATGCGAGTCAGTTTTGGCTGTGTGTGCTGTTTCAGTGGTCTTTGAACAACGTATCCATGCAGCAAAGATCAGAGGCCATCTCTGACACCTCACTCCCATTAACCAAACATCAGCAGAATTTTATTCTCTCTCTGTCTCTCTCTTTCTCTCCCTCCCTCCCTCCCGTTCTCTTCCGCTGACTGGCAGTCTTCACGTGGTGAAGTTCATTAGCCCTGGGGACGGGTGGGAGAGGAATAAGAGAGGGGGAAAAAGAGAGATGAAGTTGGGAGAAAAGAGAAAAACAGACAGTGACCTTGGTTAGGGAGATGGGTAAATGATCAAACGAGCTGGCAGCTGTGTGTATGTGTGTGTGTATTTATGCCAAACGTGTGTGTGAGTGTGAGGTAAAGTAGGCGTAAAACAGTAACTCAATAAAGGATCAGTCACATCCAAGGAGCCTGGGGAGCCCACGCTGCTGACTGCGCACTTCACCGGCTACGAGTGTGTGTCTGTGTGTGTGTGTGTGTGTGTGTGTGTGTGTGTGTGTGTGTGTGTGTGTGTCTGTATGTGAGCCACAGGAGTGTAGTTGGATGCCCTCCGCTGAGCTCGCCAGCACCTGCTAATTACCTTTCTCTACAGAGCAATGCTTTTAGCAAGAAAGAGGGAGAAAGAGGGGGGGGGGGTATTGCTTCTCATCTGTGAAACACCTTGAATGTGACAGTTGCCAAGACGTGTGGTCGAGGCGGAGTAGGGGAGGTGGGTGGATTTGGAGCAGAAGATGCTGTGGTCAGCTAAGTGAAGAAAACACTGTCATTTGTCACAGACAGAGAAAAGTGCCAAATATCACATCGCACGTTCACACTCGTCTCTGCTCCAATAACCGCCCGACTCCCAGGACATCGTCGTCCTCACTGGCTCAGATGACAGTAAACGTATAAAGTGAGCAACTGCCTGATGTGAAGGGGGGGAAGAAATGCAGAAAATGGCTAATCTTCATCTCCCTCAGTGTCACGAATCGGGAACACGCAGTTCTCAGCTTTACAAACAGATGGTCATCCATAATGCAGCTTCTTAGCTGTTTTATGGGATATGTCAAGCTGTGATGCATTATCAATAGGCAGAGTGCCATCTAATAAAGGGTAACCACATTTTCAAAACCCCAAACCAGGACTTCTGTGTTTATGTACATGCACTTGCACAAACAGTAATTAGTGTAAACACCTATTTGCTGTTGGGCTTGACAAGAAATTAAGTAAATGTATTAGTAGGTATATGTAGTTTATGCATTACATATTGTTACTTATTATTGTATTAGCCTTACTGACTCTGCATCAAAATGTCTCTTTGCCTTCCAGATAACAGCTCCTTGGCCACTCAGACAACCAGGGAGAGCTGTGATAGACAAGTCTACCAGAAACCCCCGTCAGGCAGGGAGGGCTGTGATAGGGTATCTTATCCTGCGGGACAGAAGCTCCCAGCAGGTCTCCACCACACTCCCTTCATCTTCCCCGAAGGCTTGTCCTCCATAGAGACACTGCTCACGAACATCCAGGTGAGGCTCTGCCGGGGCTTTATTATTATTATTATACTCTGAGATGAATAGGAAGGGAGATGAGCCACTCTTTGGGATTTCCTGAAATGGTAAATAGCAGACGAGGCAGACATTTAAGATATGCAGTAATTGGGATGGGCGTGTGCTGACCTGCTTCTCAGATTTTATATGTCTTTGTTATGACAGAGTCACCGTGAAAGCACTCACTGGTTTGGTTTTCACAGGACAAAAAAATCATGGTTTTAATCTCATCTGACCCCGATGTGATGGTTGTTCCATTTTTAGCATGGAGTTAAAAGATCAGCAATGATTTCATGAGGGAAAATTTTTTTTTCTGTATTTTTTTCTTTTCTTTACCTGAGTAAACCCAGGAATTGCCTGAGGAAGAGTCTAATTCATTGCGATCTTTTTACTTTTACATGCTTTTTTTTTTTCTTTTTTTTTTTTAAATTAACTGCGGCTCATGTTAAATGATCTTAATCTTGAAAAGTGCCTTTGTTGAAGTGCCTTTAAAAGAGGGATATTTACGTAAGATTATGTGATTAGGTGAAGTAAGGATTCTCTCTGGTGCATTTTTAAATGCTTGGAGAAAACAGACATGTCTCCTGGCTTTTGTTCAGTGTGTAACCTGTTGATGTGTGCCTGTATGTCTTCAAGCAGGGTCTGCTGAGGGTTGCCATAGAAAACGCCCGGGCGCAGGAGAAGCAGGACCAGCTGGAGAGGACGGAGCTGAAGATGGAGCTGGTACGAGAGAGGGAGCTCAGAGAGACCTTGGAGCGACAGCTGAGCATCGAACAGAAAAACAGAGGTAGATCACATTAAGTATCACATACAGTATCTGCACATTTTTTCTGTGGAAGTTTTTCTAGTTGGCAAATATTTTACTACCTTATTGAGACTCCATTCAAAACTGTCAGTTTTAACTTCCCTCTCATGAATTTATAAACACTTGCAAGGTGTTGATTTTTACATCTAAACACTGACAATTCTGCTGTGCAGCAAAACCACGTTGGTTTAATCCACTTCTAAGCTGACAGGATGTCCAATAACTTTAAAATCAGATCAGGAAGTGAGGACACCTACTGTATATTACCCACTTAAAGCATCTGCAGAGGTGAATTAGACTGAGGTTGGCAGTACACTACAAACCAAATCGAGTTTGGCATGTTCACAAAAGCTGTCATATACAGCGCAGTGAGAGCAAATGCCAGTCAAGGACACTTTCCTTGAAAAGGTCACACCAGATGGAGAAGTTTTGGTGGGAGGTGACATTAAATATTTGACCCAAAACAGCCAGCCACACGATATTGTTGACCTGTTGCAGATGGCAATGTATGGGGAAGAAGTAAAATAGGCATTTGATCAGTCAGACCAGCAGTGATGCCTGAGGTTTGTCACAAACATGTCAAACAACCTCTGTAAACACATTTGATCTCACTGTGAGCATATTGGCCTCATTTACCGACTATTAATATCTCATTCACACCACAGTAACAACTTGCAAGTTCACAATACCAGCAAAAGTCCCTCAAATCTCGTGATGTCAAGATCCAGGAAGGTCAGGAAGCAGGAAGACCACAGAGAAATATGATAAACAACTTCCCACAACAATAGATATAGATGAAGTCATGTATTGAAATATTAGAGGCAAATAAATATTCGAAACATCTGAATCATTTGATTGCAAAGCATATTTACTTTTAAATGTGTATTTTTCTGACATCCGTTGTCATTTCTTCTTCTTCTTCTTCTTCTTCTTCTTCTTCTTCTTCTTCCTCTTCCTCTTCCTCTTCCTCTTCCTCTCTATTTAGTTCTGATTCAGAAGCGCCTGAAGAAGGAAAAGAGAAGTAAGAGGAGACTACAGGAGGCTTTGGAGGAGGAGGTCAAACTCCGTGATCAGGCAGAGCACAGCCTGCTGCACACTGCCAACACGCACACAGGTACAGGCACCGAAGATTTCTTATAGATATCATGTATCATATTTCTGTTTTGATTCATAATTGGGCCTAAAGTTTTTGTAGCCAGCGTAATCCTCATTTTCATATTAAATGTCACCAAGTCGTCAGTGCAACATAGCCTTGACTGTTCATTAGCCTCTAATTAAGTGTCCTTATTAATTAATGACCGAACTACAGGCCATCAATCATCAGCAGCCCCTCCTCACACAGAATCTTTGACCCAAGACGTGGATGGGAGCAACCACGATGACAACAGGCTGGACACCAAGGCAACAGTACAAGGTACAGGTGTGGAGATAACAAATACGTCTTCATATTCTGATCAGTGAAAATGTTGTAGTCCTGGAGAGAAAGGACTGAAGTAGAAATGCTTCTGTCACTGCTAAAACATTCTGTCAACAAACAACAACTTCAAGGAAATTAAGACAAACAACCCTATTACAGACTTATGAAAATTCACATCATTTTTTTTTTATTTATGTCCCATGCTGTCACCTTAAGACACTAAATTAAGGTTTTTTTAAGCTCTTCTATCTGAAACTAGTGATGTTAGCTGATGAGTCTGTGATCTTTTAAAAAACAAACAAAAAAACAAAGGCGTGTGTAACAGTATTAGTAAAGGCACTGCACCAAGTTTGTGGGAATTACATTCGACTACTCATTAGTAGTCGAAACCTGACTGTCATGCTTACTAAAACAAGCCATTTCGATGTAAGAATTGTGAAATAAACAGTGATATACCTGCTGCTGGGGATTTATTTAGCTCCTATCAACTGAGCTCGGACGACAGATTTCATTATTTCACCTACTCACTGCTTTTGATGCTTAACTGACCAGTCTACTGGAAGGGTTTTCAAAGGTTTCACAGGGAGACCGCTCCTGAGAAATTGAACAAAATTAAATGAAGCATGAGGCAGTTCGCTGGGGCTACCGTTTTAATGGAGACAGGCGTTTAATATATTTATTTTGCCAACATTATTGTCTTCGCAGGGATAGATTAATGAGAAAATCCCACATGTAACATCTTAAACAGACAGAAAAAGAAATGGCCGTGATCTCTAGCCCGGCCTCATCAAAAGAGTGCATGGTTCCAGCCCACCTCTGCTCCACGCCGTGCCAGGACCGCCGTACCAGACAGCGTGCTTGTTCAAAGGCAATTTTTAATTGAATGTCAGTGAAGCAAGAAGAAAACTGGCCACTAATTAACGGCTGTCTTAATTGTCCTCGTGACGAGTTTGTTTGGACATCATTTGCATAATTAACACCCAGTAATAAATCATTTAAAGGGGAATTGTCTGTCAGACAGCAGGGCAGGATGTGGTTTCTTTGTGCCAGGAAGTTTTATCACCAAAAACAGGGATCAGAGGCCGAAAAACATTTTCAACTCAGACTTACTAAATTTTTGAATTAACGATCTGGTTGTATACAACCTTCTTCAGTATTTATATAAATGATATATTGTATACAGCATTTTTCCTCCTATAGTTACAGTCACTGGAGAATCAAATCTAATCTAATTTTACAACTTCAATAACAGTGGTTTAAATGTTTAGATTTTTTACTGCTTTATTAATCTGGATTTCTTTGTGGATTTCAGAGGGCAGAGTGTTCCTGCAGACCACTGGGATGTACTGAAGACTTTGTGGATGGATGGATGAATGGATGGAAGGATGACTGGATGGATGGATCAATGGAGTGACGAAGATTCCTCATTTATGAGAAATACAATTGACAGGCATGCTCAGTCGCACAGTGGCATCTGAGATAAACACCTCCACCTCCTCACGAGGACTCCCCTACATTTTAAGGGTGACCTTTGAACTTTCCCATTGTTCTCTTGTTTTAATTTATTCCATTTATCACCGAATCTTGGCCGTAGTGGGAACAGTACTTTATTCTGATGATGTGTTTGACTGTGTTTCTTTCAATCAAGGTTTTTAGATCCTAGATGAAGATGACCATAGTTGTTTTTTGTCAGTGCTGTTTATCTGGACACAAATGCTGAATATTACTTGTAACAGAGTTGTGTACATATATATAGTCATCATTTTTGTTATTATTATTATCAAAAAAACATAATGGCATGTTGTACAGTCAGTAAACGACTTGTATTGTGTATGTTATGCAGTAGTGCAGTTTGACAATACAAACAATACAAATCCTTTTTATTAAACTGTGTTAGTGCTTCTTTCTTTTTTTTCACAAGTCTCTGAATGCATCATTTGTTTAATTGTTTTTTTCATGTGAATAGTTTAATTGATTTCTCTGAAATACAGTGCACCCTTCTGAAATGTGGATTTATATTACACTTTATTGGTTCTTTTTTGTGACAAACAAAATGGCTCTGCATTCTGTGATACAGTAAACCCTTGAGATTTGTTTTGTGTGTACGGAGGAGGGGGAGGTCCATGTGCTTGCATGTCCATACATATATGAGGGTGTAGGGAGTGGTGTGACATTGATTTGTGCTCCATCTCCAAAAACGTGCACGTAAGTATTGACAGACAGACAGGAAGGTGCTGAGCAGGGTCACATGTAGACTGTCCTCTAGTGAAACATGTTGACGATGCGCCGCCGCTCTGTGGCTGCTCTCATTTTTATCATGTTTTCCCCTCAGGATAGAGAAGGGTGAGAAAACTTAAGAAGAAGAATTTGCGTCAATAAATAGTTGAGACAATATAAGAAAGAGAGAAAGAATGATGAAAAAAAAGAAACAACATTTTTGTCGCATGAACATTTGTGGCTATTTTATAATCCTAGTATTGCAGGAGATGGAACAATATCTAATTAAACTAATGAATAATATCTTTTGGGGCTGGTTGAAGCCGTGTAAATATCTGGTAACGTAAACCAACTGTAGTTTAACTTGAATTTGAAAAGCTGTGCTTGTATACAAGAGATATCTGAAAGCATCAAAACTGAAGTCAGGGCTGTTCTAGGCCATTAAAAGCAAAGAGTGTGTGACTGTAGACGTGTAAAACCATACCAAGTGTTCCTCAACTAATGCAGAGGGTAAAAAGGATGAATATGTAATGAATTATGTAAGGGGTCAGTGATCAAAATGTTGTTGAACATATTTGAAGCAGATAATTTCCCCTAGGAGAGACAGTAGATGGCCAGGATGCTCACTGGCAAGCAATATTAAGTTTTCCTTAGTCCTAAATAACAATGTATATTTCACATTGTTCTGAATCTGTTTGTTGTGCCAAAAAAAAAAATCTTTGCAGTAGGCCAGATTTTGCTCATGCAACCCTGTCTAAATGTGCAGTGTGCCATTTCCTGGACACAGGCAGATAAGCTGTGATGCGGGACTAAAACAATACCGCTGTTATAAGCAATTCTTCCTGAATACAGAGTCGGTGACAAGTGAATAGCAATGATTCACGTAAATGAATGTGTGAATGAGTCATCAGCTTTTCAGATGACCACCTCAGAGGCTGTCTTGACTAAAAAGGTTTGTGACTTCATTCAGCAACACTCTACTTTCACTTTCCCGTGTATCTCTCTCTCTCTCTCTCTCTCTCTCCCTCTCACACACATACACACATACACACACACATATCCCTCACAATTCACCGAGTAGCATTGTCCTGCTGAGAGATGTGTAATGGAAAAGATAAATGGAGGATAAAGCTAAGGTGACAGGACGGAGCACGATGTGTGTGTGTGCGTGTGCGTGTATTTGCATGTGTGTGTGTGTTTCTATGAGTGTGTGCCCGCATGTGTGTACTGCACAACAGACCAGCAAACCATCTGCTCATCTCCTCTTAATGAACAAAGCAAACAGCAGGAGTCAAGGCTGTCTCCAAATCTGGAGTCTCTTTATTGGTAAGCACACACAAACACACACATACGCATACACACATCTCTGCGCTGTTTAATCTGATTATCTTTGATTGAGAACAGGGGCAAAGCAACCTTTTTAGACCTCACTCCTACATCAGTGACAGAGAAGGTCTGAAACACAATTAGCAAGCTGTTCCTGAGCTCTGCTTTGCAGTCACATCTGACCACCGGCAGCCAAATAGACCTAATGGGTGGGAACTAACCAATGGGAACTAACACGCTACTGCATCTGTGGATGATGGGGAAATGCAACACTATTAGACAGCTGTTCGCCATATCTTTTCAAATGTATTTGGAAGTAACATAAGCACTGGATCAATTGGCTCAGGAGCAATCACAGCCAGGCATGAAGGTATACACAGTTTGATGTGAATAAATCTGGCAGCCTGTATTGTAAGACAAAGCAGGGGCTCTGCAAAGGAAGTCTGGACCTTGACAAGATATGACACTGTGTGCATAAGGCCAGAGGACCATAAGAAAAAGTCATTAAACTGGACTTTGTGCAGTCACATCCTGCTCAAGGCCCCAAGGATAATTAACACTGTGACCACTCTGTCAGAAAGCTGACCACATGGCTTCAAGACATGAAACACTCCCCACGCTGCTTGTACATATGTATATCCAACCCATAAACACATATTACACACTGAGCAAATGGTCATAGATGACAAGGCTAAAGATCAAACATGATTAAACCAGTGCTTCAGGGCCCTGGGAAATGCCCTGTTTGAGGTGCATGAGATACTGGCAGGGTGGTATCGTGGATAAGGAGACTGCCCTTCATCAGGACGATCATCTGGCTACAGCAGCTGCCCTGCCGAAATGCCTGTGAGCAAGACACTAGCTGCAGGGGTGCTGCAGTCGTTAAATCAATGGTTCACACTGGAGTATGGACCAGAGATGACCCTGATCTCATACAAGAACAACAATTTGTCTTGAAACATTTTTACAGGTTTGTTTAAAACAATTTGCCCTCCTCAATTCTCTCATGGGTTTATTTTTATGGTAATAATACATTCTTTTAATCTATTTCTCATATGTATGTATTATTAGTAGCATAACATTTACTGTTGAGGTACTTGAGGTACTTGTACTTAACTTCAGAATTTCCATTTTCTTCTACTTTGATTCAGATCAATAATACAGAATATAATAGAAAATATAATCAACAAATACATTATGATATTTAACCAGGAAAAGTGTAATTGAGATCAAAAGCTCTTAAATAAGAATGTCCTGGATAAAACAGGCAGCAGCAACCTTAACAGGGTTGCAGACATACTTGTAACAATTAACAATGAAAATAAAGACTCATTAAATATCATAATAAAATAACATTCATCAAATGTTCATCACAAGTAATCAATATCAGGGGTCAAAAAGGGGCAATATGAATTGGTCAAAACATCTACCAGCCTTCAAGTCATTTAAAATTGCTTCAGATGCATCCAGAGACCAGCTCCCTAAGATTCAGATATTTCCAGACATTCCCTTTCTCTTTATATAGGCTACTCTGCAGCATGTAAAGTAGGCCTAATTAAAATTAGCCCAACCTTTACCAGCTGCAAGTTAAAGTGATGTTCACACTAATTCATCACTAATTATAATCTAATAATATAATATACAGTACATTGTTGTGAAATGGGCCATTCTGCGAAATGAGTATATTTTGGTGCTGACTTTTGAAAAGACTTGAAAGTTAAATTTTAAATGCATGACATTTGCCTTTGACTGAATATTGCTACACTGTGTTATTGCTACTTTTACTTAGGCCTAAATAAAGGACCTGAGTAGGCCCTTGTACACCACTGATTAGTAGTAGTCGCTACAGATTCATTTTTATATTTTGTTATTGTTATCTTACGCATTAGTTTTTGTCCTGCACTACTTTTATTTGTAAAACATATTAATGGAATTAAACTCTTATAAACAGATAATGGTGAACGGAAAATAGAGATAGTTTTATTATTTAATTGCCTTAAGCAATGGATCGCATACATAACTTATCAATTCTCTGCATTTTTTGTTGGTCTGTCAATATTAGCGACCGTGTAAATTTATCAGTAAAAATATCCAGGGATCCTTATCAAGTCCTCACCACAGAACAACAGCGCCCTCCACAGGTCACGTTTCCTCTAATTTCAGCTGCCTGCGAAAAAACACCTTTTGAGCTTGTCGAGCTTCCATAGGACATTCCCCTTCCCCCTGTCTCCTTCTCATCACAGCATGGATCCTCACCCCAACTTTATTTCGGTGTTTTAGACTTAGTTTTACGTTGCCTTTGGATTAACGGTTTTCGCCTGGACTCCGTTACTCATCTAGACGCCATGTTTACCACCACCGGCTCTCGGGGCCTCTGTAAGTATCCGCTATCCACCGTCAAACCAACGGTAACAGCTAGCTCAGCTAACTGGTGTTAGCATTGCGCTGTCATTCATTTACTCTAGGCTATATCTCTCTCTTACAGCTGCGTTCAGTTAATAAATAACATACGCTTTGCTTTTCCATTTAGTCGGTTTACTTAGCTAAGGTGCCATCGTTAAAAGTAACAGAAAATGACAAAAAACGAGGCCTGTATTTAAAATAAAGTATATAAGTATAGTCAGGAAATTGTATTTACAGTATTAAAGTACTCAGAGTACGTCATATCATTATGGCATCATATCATTATAGCATTAGGTTATTATTACTGATACATTAATTTGTAAGCAGTATTTTGTTGCATAGTACTTGAGTAAATTTACCTACTTTCCATCACTGGTGGTCTGCACAGATAAGGCTCCTCTGTCTAAAGGCCTCCTCCTGGTTCTCAATGGGCTGACTGTGATGCTCACCCTGCTGCCACAGTACCAAGAACTGTTTGTATACAACCTACAGGCTGTCACCCACCAGCACCAGGTACATCTTCAGCATCTGTCTGTGTGTTAGCGTGTGAAACAACAACCAGTATCTCTAAATAATGTGTATGTGTCCCTGGGTGCCATGTTCCTCTACTTTTTGTGAAACTGTCCTGGTTTAGACACCAGTAGATATAATCTTTTAAAACATTTCGATGAATGATGTATTGTTTTCAAATTGAACATCATAGTTCATTCTTGACCATTGGAATGACAACATAATTTTAACTCAAGGTCCAGGTCTTAGCTTTTAGTGGATCTTTCAGCTGCATCTCATTCATCAGTGAATGAAGATATCACAGTTGTTACGATACTGACTCTTGTATCATCATGTGACCAATGTAACCTAAGGAACTTTGATTACATGATAACAGGTTAAAAACAATGCAATGCAGTGTGATCTACATCAGTGAAACCGATTGGGGCAGCTGTTTGTGATTACCAGATCAAAACCAGTGGCAGCATCAACTGGGAAAGGAGTCAAAAGTTCCCTACTTATGCTACATGATGCCACTTGAGCCAGTTCTATTCGCTGATGAAGGCCATGAGATGCAGTTGAAAGTTCTGAAAAAGCTATTAAAATGACCTTGACATAATACTATTTTGTCAAATTGGTTTAAAAATTATTTGGTATTAACGTCTAGAAGTTCTTGGTGAGTCTGAGATGTGAGATAGGGCATAACATGGCATAACATTTAGGTTATGTACACTGTGTTATTCAGAAGAGGCATTATTACACCAAGTTATTAATTTGAATGTATAATTCTTCTGTCCCTCGTGCTGTAGGTGTGGAGGTTGTTGTGTGGCAGGTTGGTGTGTCTAGATGTGAAGGACTCCTTTTGTAGCAGCCTGCTCATTTACAACTTCCGAATCTTTGAGAGGAGGTTTGGCACCAGGAAGTTTGCTGTAAGTACCATATCCACTGACATTTGAATAATACAAACATAAATACACAGAGTACAAATTTAATAAACCTGCTCATATTGCTTGCTGAACTACATTGCCCCGAAATCTTTTTGTGGGTCGTTTCCTCTCCAGTTACATTCGTAGACAAAAGCAAAATGTTAAGATCTTCTTTAACAGGATTGTAAGAATGAATATGAATCACTATGAGGTGCACCTCTGTAGCAACTTCCTCTTTTAGGGAAGGTGATATTTAACTTCCTCATCTGGCACAAAGCAGTTCTCACTAGCTTGTTGCGTAAAAGACATCTGACACTGAGTGTCACTGTGTTTGTGAAAATGTAGTGAAAAGTTTGAAGACCTTCTAAGTTTGTATTGTTCTAACCATCATACGTGGCGCATATTCTAATTCCAGTCCTTCCTGTTGGGCACTTGGTGTCTGTCTGCGCTGATGGACTTCCTGCTGGCCCAGGCTTTCCAGTTCTTATTTGACTATGAAGTCGAGGAACTGCCTGCAGGACTGTGAGTAGCTTGGTCATTTTATTAGCCACAACATTTGCTAAGTTTCACAAATGAATGTGCTGCATCTCGAAAAGGGAATAGCTTTTTGTCACTCTTATGGCCTCTGAGGATCCTGCAATTAAAAGATAAATAGCCTTGTATTCAGTTAGGTTTATGAAGTGTTAAGACAATGTGTCATTGCCATGTGTCACTTAAGTGGAAAATCTGTCTTTTTCACCTCAACATATCACCATGTAAGCCTTGGGCAGTATCCGTTTTTTCATTTCCTAATCCCCTCCCCATATTATATTTGAGGATACGGTATTTAAATGGTGGTGGACTGTGACAGCAGCATACTATCCACTGCCACAAAAGGAAGGAAGTAAAAATGACTTAAGATATTTAATGAAATAAGAAGTTGTTATTCAGAAAAAGTGAGATGGTAAAGTCACTTGCTCAAAAAGCCTAACACGGCAAACTTAACATGGCCTTTCCCAGATTGCCTGAAATATTACTATTACTGCTGAATATCAATGTATTTTATATTAATGAGTGGTGAATATCTTTTTCAGTGATTTGTATTAAGCGGCGTGAAACAAAATCTGATAATTACACTGATAAGTGATTTATTTCTCTCTGTGTCTCTATTCGTGCATGTCATTTCCAACCTCTGTACTTTTACACTTCTCTTCTCACAGGCTTGCTCCAGTCTTCTCTCTTTTTGTGCCTTTCTACCTGTCGATCCCCAGGATGCCAGTCACCCAGGTCCTGGGCCACATCCACATCACCAACAAGTCTCTGGTCTACATAGTAGGCTTGCAGGTAAGCCTGTGTTCTGCTGGTGTGAGTATGTGTGTATATATTTTTCTTTGTCCTTCAGAGTTCTTGAGAATGCGTTGTTTCTTTCTCTTCTTCTCTCCCCCAGCTGTTGACTTCCAGCCCCTTCATGTGGCTTCTTGCACTCAGTGGACTGGTAAGTAGCCAAATTCTTCATTAATTCATCATTTGCTGTGTATCTAGGAAGAGAAACGATAATTAAAACACCAATAAGTGATTTATGGCTGGAGGAGGTGCAGTACGTGGGTTGTTTGTTGAGGGCTGCAGGACTCGGCACACAGGTTGTGTGTGGGCCAGAGAGTCAAAACAATGTGCTCAAGAGCAGTGTTTCTCAAACTTTTTCAGACCAAGGTCTGCTTTACCATTCAAATCAAACTCACAGACCACCTAACTCCCCAAACATCCCCAAAACCAATACAGTAAATAGGGTCAACAATCCATTGGCCCAGCACTCCGCACGGTAGCAGGTGGCGCTATTTATTCAGCATCAAAATTATCATGCAATAATAAAAATAAAAATAATCAGCAGATTAATCAATAATGAAAATAATTGGTCTTTGCAGCCTTACTGAACACAGGTTTTGATATCTCTGAAATCGGATCATGTTTCGCTGCATCACACCATGGATTACCTTGCAAAGTTTGATCTCCACACAGTAAAGCTGATATCTGTACTATATACATGTTTTTTGTGAATGTGCCTTTCAGATCTCAGGCGGGTTGTACCACTCCAATGTTCTCCGGCTACAGAAGCTCCTCTTCATACCCTCCTGGGTGTCTCGTATTGGACGGTATATTTTGGAGCCACTCTTCTCAAGTGAGTCCAACCATTCGTAATCACAGAACACAAATCCTGTGCAAATCCTTTTCTCTGTGACCAGTGTTGCGTGGCCTGGCAGGGAGTTGTCTTTCTCTGTCTAACTGAGAAAAAAACTAATACCGATAAATAACATAACATCCATTTTAGGCATTTGAATAGTGCTATGATGCATTAATGTATGTATGCTAAATTGTATTTGTTTTGTTTTTTTCATTTTCCTGTATTAAAAACTAACCTGGAGGAAAAGTAAAGCAAGGATGAAATAATGAGCTGTCTTAAAGATCTTCTCTGCTTGTAAAAGTTTTTTTCCAGATTCACTTTACCTTATGAGATTTTTGTGGCCATTTGCTATACTAACAATTAGGCTAATTAGCTAAAGTAATTCTTGTTCCAAATTTAAATACGCCATTCGTCCTGTCTCACAAATTGGAGGAGGGGACTTATGGGTCAATGATGCCATCATTAAATAGTAGTATGAAAGCATACAGTATTCATTAAGAAAAGTAGTTTCTGAATGACTGAAGATGTGCTTTTTCACATGACTGCACACATTACTTTCTGCTCTGAAAACATTCACTTGAAAGGTTGTTTACATTAAACGTCATGCCTTAAACAGCTCCTCCTCTTCAATTTCTAATGTCCTACACGGTCATTTAAAGCCTTTCAGCTGTGAAAGAGTGTTTATCAGTCTCAAAATAGTCTGTGCTGAACAACTTTGGCTTTCCACATTTTGTTCTGAAAACTTGAATAGAGCCGCTGTTGACAGTAAGCTGGTTTGGTGTTTGCTATGTTTCTATGTCCAAAAGCTGGGATATCATAGTGAAGTGCAGGACATAATGTGACAAAATATATTTCTGCTATTATATAACAGATAAAAAAAACAGAATTTTTCTATGTCACACTATGCTGCTTTTTGCCAATTGATGTACAGCTCTTTTACACAGTGTTACATGTTTTGTGTCTGCTTATTAATGTGTTATTAACATCTGTGGTCATCAAGGCTCCCAGCCAAGCAGTGAGACACCTCTGGGGATGGGTGCCACTCTGGACATCCAGAGGCAGCAGAGGATGGACCTGCTCGACCAACAGCTGCTGCTGGCCCAGTACAATGAGGCCAGGAGGAACACCAGACAACAGCCACAGGTAGATAAACACACAAACACGAACTTATTGCTGCATTAATGCGCAGCCTAACTCCAATGTCAGAACTTCACTTACTTCAAGCATCAGATGCCACTCAAGAATTGTATTGAATTGCAGTTGTACCATTTGTTCAATGTCTACATATGAGCAGTGCTTGGTTGTGCCTCCATGTCTGTGTGTGTGTGTGTGTGTGCAGCCTGGGTTGTTACAGTGGACCAGGTTGTTTCCCTCCCTGAGACACAGAGGACAGAACCGACCCCCAATGCAGCCCCGCCCCCAGGCTCAGACACAACCATCCACACAGCCACCACTATTGGACAACTCTCCTGTGGCAGAGGAGCAGGTGGGTGTTCACATGTGTGTTCCTGTATATGTTTACACACGTGCAGCTTTACACCATGAGTGCAGTATTAGTTCACTTTCTGTAATTTCCAGATATTATTTCACATATCTTATGATCTGCATGACTCAGAATCTTTATACACAGGCAGACCGCTAACAGACAGACCAAAACTGGTCTTTATAGCCCACCTACACCTGACTTTGTGTGGGGAATCCTTATGAAATATTCCCAGGTGATGCAGCTGCTGTCTCTCAGTTGTTTTTTTTGTTTTTTTTGGCCCACAGGTTGCACGACTGGTGGAAATGGGCTTTTCCAGGACTGATGCCCTTGAGGCCCTCAGAGCTTCAAACAACGACATCAACATGGCAACCAACTTCCTCTTGCAACACTGAAAGAAAGAGAGCAAGCCCAGTGAGAAAAACAGGTGAATAAGGACACAGAGAGAAAGAAGGAAGAGAAGCAACCAAAGCAGAGGAGCAAAAAGCAAAACGGAGACAAAATGTTGGAGAGAATGACAATGAATGATGGAGATTGGGAGAGAAGACAACAGAAATTTGTACAGATAATCTGCTGTGTCACTGCTCCCTGAAGCAGTGTTAGGCTGACCCGACCTGAGCGGAGCCTGATCGCTGGCTGATTAATGAAGAAGTGTGAAGCACAAAGTGGGAGACATTTGCGTCATCGCTTTCTGATGGTCATCGTAGTGTGAAACAATCATTGCTCAAGGCAGATGAGTTAGACCTCTAACTCCAAGGGGATCCCTATGAAACATATTCAGAAACCAAACAGGTCAGAGCTTTGCTCACGGTACACTTTGAACGCTTCAGAGTCTTCTGTCCAGTGGAGGACATAAAAAAGTGGGAGATTTCTTTAAAACAACTGATGCTGAAGCACACACATCAGCTGAAATTCCACACACCCTCCACATGGATACCCACTTATAGCTGTGTGAAATAGATCTCTATAACCCACTGTCATTACTGCCATACTACTGGCTGCTGTGTAACCAACATCTTAGACCCTGATAACTGGTCAGAGATGATAAATATGTCTCAGAAGATTAAGAAAGAGGTGCACAAGGTTTTTGAGAGAGTGGATTAGAGAACATTATGTCATCTGTCAGGTTTTTGACAAATTTTTATTTTTCACTGAGACAATAGTCTCAGTGAAAAATACCTCAATTCCTTAACCTCCTTAATTACATGAGGAGGTTCAGAGGTCATGATTACAACTTGGGAATTTATGATTAAAGAATCCATGAACAATCTAACATACATAACAGGGTTTTATTACACAGATGTTATTTCTTTATGTTGGCAGTGTGTCACGGAAGTAGCAGGGCTCAACCCTTTCCTGCTTGAGATGTTTTAACAAAGCGGTAAGCCTGATTGACAGCTGCTGCAAGAGCCACATTTCAGCGCTGAGTGGTTCGGCCCCTTTTGTAACTCTACAAGTCCACTGTCTGTAACCGACAGGGCTGTTTGGCAGGACACAGGTCAGATGGGTTATCTCAGGGTCTCTGAGGCGACTTCCTCTGTTCATGGCATTCACATTTAAGGACATTGAGTGCACACAGAGGTGCACAGTAGCCTGTCAAGGAGGTCATGTTTCACACCCTTGACTGTCTGTCTCTTTCATCATTTCATGCTCTCAGATGCATTTGCACACACTCCTCAAGGTTTTATTTATTCTGTCTTAACTGAGTTTGAGTCTTTTCTCTGACAGCACATGTGTCTGGATCTTGGCAAGTCTTAAAAGTCCGATGATATTCATTCTGCAATATCATGACAAGAAATTTATGGAGACTATGCACTGCATAGTAATTACTTTGTGTATATAAATGTGCAGACATTTTGTGGAAGAGAAGTTATATTGCAGCCACTATGTATTGATGTCAAAGAAAGATGCTAGTTTTATATTTTGTGCATAATAATATTGATAATATATGACCACTGAGATGAGTCTGTCATTTGTGTGTATGTATTTTTGAGAGTGAAATAATAGTTGATGGGTGTGATGAGGGAGTTGTTGCATGGACAACTTTCTGATAAACTGTAACAAATCATATTTGATCTGTGGAATAAATCAACTTGCTGACTAATAATTATTTGCATCGCACAGAGGTTATTCATGATGACGAGCCTCAAAACAAACAAACAGACAGTACTTCTGGTTAACCCTTTTAGTTTTATACAAATCCTTGATGGACAGCACATGAATTATAAACATGAAATTGAAGGTTTTAAATTATTTTAAAGGATTAAATGACAACAAAAAGGATAACGTTTTTTTTTTACTGAGCATGATTTATGGAGTATATTCTAAGAAATCCAGAGATTTCTGGGTAAATTAATTACTAACCATCACAACCTAATGCCATTCATGCAAATATTGGTGTTTCTTTAAGCTGTTACCCACAATCCCAAATTCTAATATTGAAAGTGGAGGAAGACATGCAAAGATCCTCTGCCCTGGAAAATTATTCCACTTTTCACTTGCAGCCATCCAGATATAATCATTCATGGATAGGATGCTATTATGTGACAACTTTTCAAATATACCATTTCAGTGACTTATTCTAATAGCTTTCATTCGATAATATATCAGCTCCTGTCACTAAACACTGTGAGTTGTTTTTTTCTGCCATCATTACAAATTTATTGTGGGTCGGATTATTATTATCATGAAATGTTGGTCAGTTCTGGCTTTTTATGTTTCTAACAAGCGATGGGTCCAAAAACAGACGCAGCTAAGCAGTCACAAGCCAAAGAGGTTTGAAACCACTGCTCTCTGAGGGACACAGTATCTTCCAGTACCTTTTCCTAAACTCCAAAGCAGCTGCCATTGTTTCAAAGGTTTCTTGTGTCATTTCCTTGTGGGTGATCTGTTACCGCTCACCTGAGATGAACCTGATTTATCCGGCGGAAACCAGTGTTTATAAAACAGGAAATTTTTGCTTGTGCATTAGTCTGTAGTCTGCCTTTTCTCACTGTCTGTCAAAGAGTCATGTTAGAGAGTCTTCTGGGCTTTTTAATAGAATCCAGAACAGAGATGCCTGTTGAAAAAAATATTCCTGTATGCATTAATACTACAAATTTACTTTACCTGTACATATCTTTCTTGAACATTTTGTAGTAAGTAAAAAACGTATACATGTAAAACCAAGACAAATATCTCTCAGCAAGCTAGATGCTCATCAGGAAAGATGGAAAATGGAAGAAAAGTTAAAGGAAAAAGTATGAGAGTAGTTCTAAAAGCATCCAATTAATATGGGGCACAATATGCATAATCAGTTTTACTCTACACCATGATCTTTTGCACAATAGTTTGTATGTATTACAGGAAATTGCAGTCAATATTAGGAAAAATAATAATATTAACCAAAATTCAGTTTGAGCATATTGAAGCCTATAGAAGACCATTCAAATAAAAACAAAATTAGGCACTACAAAATAAAAGTACAACTACTCTGCAACAGAAATAACTTTGGAAAATAACGTGACCATGATTGCTAATGTTATTGTGAAAAAAAAAATCCACCTGTTAATGTTAAGTTTCCTTTTGTCACTAGATGGAGACATTGATTCAGGTCTATTGTGTTGCTATTGCCAGTTAGCCCTCTGCCACACCCACCCGCTTTGATTATTCCAGTGAACAGACAGCTCCAGCAGACAGTCTCGCTCCAGGATGGCTGAATATAGATGTAGAGAAATTATGCACATCTTCCGTCAAACAATTCAAAAGCATATGGTTTACCAACTATTCACTGAAACACAAAGGACAAAATGACACTTTGAGCATGCTTTATTTTTCATCTCGCACTTGATATGTGGCACTTGAGATCTCATCTGAACTCCCACAGACACTAAAAAAAAACATGGTCTTTATTTAAGGTCTCCAGAGTTCACAGTGACACAATTCAATTCGATCTCAGCTGACGTCGAATCCAGTCAAGCGGCGCAACTTTTAATGGCTGCTGAATTGAAAAGCAGCTTAAACCAGAGTGATTAATATCTGTGTGTCTCTTTGTGTTTCAGTGTTTAATTAAAGACAATGATTGAAGAAAAAAAACGTCACTGACAACCAACCTCATTAGAGAGACTCTTTTGTCAAATGCACACTTAATGTGCAGCATTAATCATGCCTCGTTTGGGGGTAATGATTTTGATTTCTCCAGCTTTGGGAGGAGGTTTTAGTCATTTTTATTTAGGGTAAATTGTGTATTGATGGGTGGTGAAACTTGTGACTTCATGTGTGAGCCAGCATTTTTTTATATTCAAACCACTGTGTAAAAATTTTGTTGCATATCCCTTTGTGCAACAGCAGTGTCAGAATGATGATGTATGTTCTGGGGGTTTCTCCTTGTCTGGCAGGGAAACCATTATCGTTTACAGTACAACTGACTGTGGCCTGCATCAGCAGTTGTGTGGGGCCATTTGTCATCTCAGGTTAGCCGTTTGTGGCTCTATTAACAAGGCCTACTGTACCGTTATACCATGACATACTGCCACTGTATAGGAACAAAGTGGTGTCTGTGTGTGTTTCTTCTCCTGCACTTCTATCCTTTTCAGAAGTTTTAAACTTTTATTTTACTTAGGGCCAATTAACCTCTGGCCAAAGGTTAAAATATGTATTCGTTAAAGGTTAGGATCAGGGTTAGGTGATGAATGTTGAGGTAATGCTTGAAGGAATGGTTGAACTTTTTGGGAAATATACATGGGGTCATGTTTAAGGCACCATGCCAAATGCAAGCCCAGACTTCCCACTCATTTCTGTGAAAAACATTAGGCTCTGTGGCTGCTAAATACTCCACTCTGTTCACCAGCTAGCTTCTAATTTTGCTCATCTACTTTTTTAATTTTTTTTCATTTAGCTGTCTGCTGCTGCTCTAAACCAGGCTGATGAGACTGAGCCAAAACAGTACAGAAATGCCAAAACAAAGTGCTGAAAAATGCTAAAATGCTCCATTCAGTTTAGGGAAACTCCAGACTTGGGTGCTAGTTCTTTGTGGGTTTGTATCAACAAATGACTTTAACATTACACATAATCATTTGACCATTTTTAATATGAAAATATTGATTAGTGGAATGTTAAGTTTAAGATCCACTACAGACTAATCTTCCATGTTTTGAAATGTACATGTCACTGTCAGTTCCAGTATTTATTCACAGATGTAATATATTAGTATTCATGTTTTAGTGTGAGTGAATTACTTGCTGATGCTGTGCTGCTGGTGTGCATGTATCACTTCAAACAGCCAGAGGCCAGCACCAGCTCCAACACTGTCTTCGCTATATTCCCTCGCCAGCTCTGTTGCTATGGTGAGTGCATGCTGTTTTGTGTGGTTGCCATGGAGACCCCGTATCCCAGCCCTCCTCCTGCTCTCATCATGTTTCTGCATGATCATTTGTATGCCTCCCGTACACTAATGCTTTAAAAAAACATGAGCAGCACAGGGAAGTGCCCTCAGGGATTGCCTTCTGTAGAAACATGCCTAGGTATTCGTGGTGCTGCTTCAGTGGATGGCAAAAATACCAAAGTAGCTGAATGACTCTCTCTCTGACACTCTGACTTTGCATGTTTGACAGTGAAAATGTCAGCTGTATGAGAAAAATTCAGAACAATGCCATCTCTTTTTCTTTCTCACCAGTGAGTCCGTAGCAAGGGAAAGCAAGAATGCCAAACGCCTCCCACTGATATGGTAATAATATTCAAGCCAATGTGCTTGGATAATGACATTTGTTAGTTGAGTCCCTCTAATAGTCTGTCCATGTCTTTCACACTCACATGGTATTGTGCCTTTGTATGTGTACTGCATGTATGTGTTCATTCATGTCCATTTGTATGCGCGTGTGTCTGAGTGCGCTGTGAACCACATGTGGGAATGTTTGCATCCCATTCTCAGGGCAGAAGGCGAGCGGCAAAGGCCACTGATGTTTTCCCCTAGCCATTTTCAGAGGAACTATAGTTAATGGGGCACAACAATGTACCTGCCTTCAGGCCTTTCAAGGCTTTGGCATTTCACTTCCATTGCGTGCTGGCTCCTGTATGCCACTTGAGGTCTGTTTAGTCTGTTGTTGCTTCGGTTACATCAAAAGGAGAGCAATCTTCTTGAATCATTATGGTTTGGCTAGGTGCACTTCAGGATTTGTCGGTTTGTTCAACCTGTTTTTCCATCTTCCAGCAATGATGACAGCTTGTTTATGGGCAACTTGTTTTTCTTTCCTTTCCCCTCCTTTTGTTTGTTGACATCTCTCACTAGATCTGCACCCAGACCTGCCCAAGCCCATTTATAAGAAACCCACAATCCCACAAGACACTCATTTGGAAAACAGTCATTTGCAACCCCAACATCTCCTATAAAGCACTCTGTACTCCAAATCTCTAATCAGCATTACCATGAGGTAAGCAGCCATCGCTCTTGACCATCAGCTATCCCTGACTCCAAACTTATGCCTGTCCTTGCGCCTACAAATTATGAAAGCTTTGGGAGAAGCTGTCCTTTCAGCATCAGGATCACATAAACAGCATTTATATATAGACAGAGGCATGATTTCCACCTCTGTTTGTGTTGAACTGACGGAGGAGATCCATTTGAGGTGAATCCTAAGTAAATTTAGATAAAAACAGTTGAAATAAAAATCACATTTAAGTCTTTTTTGCCACCATTGTATGATTTAAAGACCAGATTAAAACAAAATCTGAAAAAAAATTGGCCCCAGTCCAAGAAAGTGTCATCAGAAAAATTAACTAATGTGGCCTTTACACTCTCTCTCTGTCCCTTCTCTTCACTCCGTTTCCTGCTCTCTCTCACACAGATGAAACTCTGATACACCACAGACACTCACAGTAAAACTTAAATGTGCAGAACGTTGACAGGAGTGGAAACAGTCGTCTTTGCTCTCTCCCTCCTCCATAAACTATACCTCGCTCTTTCCTAGCCCCTGTACAGCCCTCACTACACTGCCAGGAATCTCTCTCTGTCCTCTGACCTTTAATGAGGTTCACTTCCTCTGTAATTGTACACACATACGGTATGGCATGAACGCATGCTTCTTGTGTCGGTGTGTTTATTTTTATGCATCTGTGTGTGCATGCCTGTGT